CTTCCTCTCCGAAATTTAAAAAAAAAATTCTGGAAGTGGACAGTGGTGATGGCTGCACAATAATGTAAATGTACTTAAAGCCACTGAATCATACCCTTAAAAATGGTTAAGATGGTAAAATTTATGTATAGTTTACATTTTTAAAAATATTTTTATTGATTTTTTTTACAGAGAGGAAGGGTGAGGGATAGTGAGAAATATCGATGAGAGAGAAACGTTGATCAGCTGCCCCCTGCACACTCCCTACTGGGGATGTGCCCGCAACCAAGGTACATGCCCCTGACCGGAATCGAACCCGGGACCCTTGAGTCCGCAGGCCAAGGCTCTATCCACTGAGCCAAACCGGTTAGGGCAGTTTACGACATTTTTAAGACCACCTTGGTCACGTGCCCGGCTCCTTTATACACCCTGGGGTCTGAATTCTATCCCATGGATGGCTCTGTTTCTTGTGAGCACCATACTCTTTTAATTACTGGAGCTTGGAAATACGTTTTAATATCTGTTAGAACAAATTCCTCCATAACCTTTTGCTTTTCAATCTTTTCTTGGCTATTCTCATGCATTTCTTTTCCAGACGATACTTTAGAATAATTTCATCAAAACCCATTCCTCCTCCTCTGGGGGGGGGGGACATTGTCTGGAATTGCACTACTTTTATCGATCAAATGGGAAAGAACAGACAATATTAAGGCTCCCCAAAATGAACATGGTTTATCCCTCCATTTATATATATTTTTTATTCTTTTTTTTGTCCCTCCATGTTTTATTTATTTTTTATTCTAGAGAGGAAGGGGGGAGAGAGAGAGACAGAGAGAGAGAGAGACAGAGAGAGAGAAACATCAATGATGAGAGAGAATCATTGATTGGCTGCCTTTTACACGCCCCCTACAACCAGCCTGCAACCAGCATGTGCCCTGACTGGGAATCGAACCATGGCCTCGGGGTTCATAGGTTGACACTCAACTACTGAGCCACACCAGCCCGGCTGTCCCTCCATATTTTTTTTAATATTTTTTTATTGATTTTTTACAGAGAGGAAGGAAGAGGGATAGAGAGTTAGAAACATCAATCAGCTGCCTCCTGCACACCCCCTACTGGGGATGTGCCCACAACCAAGGTACATGCTCTTGACCGGAATCGAACCTGGGACCCTTGAGTCTGCAGGTTGACGCTCTATCCACTGAACCAAACTGGTTAGGGCTGTCCCTCCATTTTTAAATCTTTTGTGACTTCAATAGAGTTTTGTATTTTCTTTATTCAATGGCCACATGTCTCTCTCTGATGTGGAGCTATAGTTGACATGCTCCCTTTGTTTCTTGTCCGGGTTAGCTCTGGGGTAGTTTGTGTTTTTTCTTCTACAACAAAGATGGCCAAGCCTCGGAAAGGGCCTCCCCTCCCCACTCCTGTCACCTGTCAGGTGACTCAGCTCTGAAAGGAAACACCAGGGTCCCAGTGCCCTCCCTGATCCCACCCCCCCATACCTGGTAGGTGACGGTCCCTGCGTAATGTCGCACGGTGAAGATAGGAAGGGGCAGCTGGGGCTTGGCGTAGCATGGGTGGTCGCCATGGTGATAGTGGCACTTCTGCAGGAAGGTGTGGTCGGTGGCCTGACAAGAGAGATGGCTCCCTCAGGCCCTGCTTCCCTGCCCCGTGTCCAGGTGCCACAGTGAACCGAGGCGGCCTCGCTGCGAATCTGAGCCCCTGTGAAGGGCACCTCTCTCGCTCCCAGGGACTGTTTGGACAACAAAGTGCAGTTTGAGAAAGACACAGCTCCTCACACACGGAAACCGGCTCCGTCAATAAACACCGATCGCTTTAAAGGTGCAGGGACCTTAAGACAGGTGCAGATCACGCCTGCGGGCACGCACCGCTGCAGGTGTTTCTACATCAGTCCTTTTTTTTAAAAAATTGATTTCAGAGAGGAAGGGAGACGAAGAGAGAAACACTGATGTGAGAGAAAAATCCATTGGTTGCCTTCCCTACGCACCCTGACTGGGGATTGAATCTGCAACCTGGGCATGTGCCCTGACCGGGGATTGAACCAGTGACCTTTTGGGGTACAGAACGACGCTCCAACCGTGCCACACCGGCCAGGCTTACATTTTAATACTTTTATATTAAGATTATATTGATCAATGAAATATCACGTTCGAGTACTTTATCATTGTTTGTCATCATTATTTTCAGCCTCTAATGAAATGGGAAAATGGGAAGGCGTCACCTTACATGCGGGGTCGTGGTGTATTTAGCTTAAACGGCCTCACATGCCAGAGGAGGCCCAGGCTGCTCATGTGCTCTCGTGGCCCTGCACATCCACGCACCGAGCCATGCAGGTGTGGCTTAACGTATGCGTGTGTGTGTGTGCTCTGCGTGTGTGTTAACACCTCTCTCCGGCTACACTGCAGACTCTAAGGGAGGGGCTGGGTTATTTTTGCTCACCTTTTCATCCCTAGCACAATTCCTGGCACAGATATTCGTGCATTTAATATTTAGTGCCCCCTTAACCATGTGCCAGGCGCCGAGACAGGGCTGAAACCCTTCGAGGAGGGCCCAGTCTCTCTCAGGAGGGTCAGTGAGTAAACACACCACGGAATTGTCATGGACACAAGTGCTATCAATTATAAGGAAGGCAACCTGAGAGCAGCCGGGAGCTGAGGTCAGGTGGGCGGGAGGCAGTACCTGCTCACCTCCCGGGAGCCCTGCTCAGTCCCCTCCTCCGTGCCCCTCAGGCATGATGGCCTTCTGCAGCGAGGACTGAGGGACCTCAGAGAGGTCAGACCTCTTGCTCAAGGTCACCCAGCACAGGGTTTGAACCCCGTTTGGCCACTGCCTTCCCAAGCTGCACGGAAGGTGTGTGAGCAGGGTCTCTGGACCCCATCACCTATTGCTCCCCCCTCCTTGTCCTGCCACAGGGGGCTCACCTGGGACAGCCATGTCTGGGCATCCAGGATACGCAGGAGGCTCTGGGGCTGTTCTACCAGGAGGTCCAGGCAGGATTCCCTCGGAGGCTGAGGGATGGGCACCCAGGGCAGCGACTCTCGCCGACATTCCTCCTGGGAACAGCCAGCCCTTGGCCGTTTGTGGGGCCCACCCACATTCATGGGCAACCTCGTCTGAGCCAGAGCAGGGGTGGCCTTCCCATTTCACAGATGAGAAAACTGAGGTTCAGAAGGACTGAGACAGCCCATAGCAAGCAGGCGTTGGGGTAGAGCTCTCAGTGCAGTGCCCGCCCTGTAGCAGAGACGGCCTCTGTTCTGAGTGCCCCTCACCTCCTCCTGGGCCAGCAGCATCTGGCTGGAGAAGAGCTGCAGGCGCTCGCTGGCAAGGTTGTTGCACAGTTGCTCGAGGCCATTCACCCGCAGTGCCTGTTGGCACGTGGGCAGTGAGGTGGGCATCCACCTGAGATGAGGGCACTGGGCAGGGGTGGGGAGTGGGCACACAGGGATCCCCCTCCCACAGGGCTGCCTGCATTCTCCCCAGCATTCAGGGAGGAGCGGTGCCCCAGGGCTAATGGTGCATCCTACAGGGTCAAGTGCAAAGGCCACTGTCAGGCCTCCCTCTAGGATTCCACACCCCTGCCCTCAGCCTCAGCATGAGCCACAGACACCCTGTGGTCTGGGAGACTCCTTTGCCTACGACCTAGCTTGCTGGCTATCAGAACCCCACATCCTCATAAGCAGGGCTCCAGGCTGCCGCCTCCAAGAAGCCTTCCAGTATTCCTCCTGTAGGGATTACAGACTGCTTCCTGTGTGCCCCCCAGCCGAGCCCCCACTTCTGGTAGCTTTGAACAGAGGGTGTTGACACACTCTAAAACACACAAGAGCACACATGCACACGGGCACACACACACTTGTCATGGTCACCAAGGACACACTGGAGGGGCGGGCAGGGCCCATCCAGGGACTCAGGGTGGGGCTGCCTCTTGTTCTAGCCCCTCCTCCCTGCCCCGAGGAGGCAGGATCCCCTGGAAAGGGGTGGAGAGCTTGTGGAAGTCAGGGTGACTGGAGGGCCCTTGGTGTATGGGACGTGAGGCCGCGGGCTTCCCCTTCCTGGGGCCTTTATCTCCCGCTGCCTTAGAGGTGATGTCAGGCCTGGACCGAGCAGGACAGAATGGCTGCCCCTACGGAGTGTGCGGCTGACTCACGAACCCTCTTTGGGCCTGGCAGGCCAGTAGTTTACCAGTGCCCCTCCCAGGGAAGCTGGCGCTGCTGGGCCCCCCGGAAATAATCAGGATGAAGCGGGCACCCTGTCCTGGGCCCCACCGCCAGGGGTGACCTCAAAACCATAGACGTCCGCGACCGTGATGGTGCTCGTGCTGCCTCCCTCCCCGGGCGGGGCCAGCCGCGTGTTGGTCCTCCTCAGGAGCCAGGCGAAGAGCCGCGAGTACAGGGCCTTGGCCAGGGCGTCCCTGTGGGCATGGGGTGTGAGCGCGTGCAGCAGCGTGCCCGGCGCGGCTATGGCTCTCTCTTGCCCCCAGGGCACCTGGCATCAATGGCCCTCTCCAGGGGCAGGGATCTTGAGGCTGGGCCGTAGGGTGTCTCCTGGGGGCAGAGGGTGTGCACATGGCATGTCAGGCCGAGGCCCACATGGGCACTCAGCCAGCCATCGGGTGGTCCGGCCGTGCTCATGCCTCCCCAGAACCCTCGAGCTCACCGTGACGCATTTGGTGACAGCCCCCTCCAGGCGCTCGGGCGGCACCCGCAGCAGCCGGGCTGCGGTGTGGATCTCGGCCCAGCTGGACACGGCAGCCACCTCCTGGGACTCCCTCTGGGCAGAGGAAGGAGGGAGCAGGGAGCGCCCTGCTTGGGCAGTGGCCACGTCCCACAGGGCGGAGGCCGGGCCTTGCTCTGCAGGGCAGCTGCCCCGTTACCCAAAGGTACATGGGTGGGTCTGGGCCGCAGGAGCCCGTTCTACAGTCCAAGGGCCCTGAGTGCGAGTCCTGACTTCACCTCTTCACTAGCTGGCCCGCCTCACAAGTCTCTTTCCTGTCTGAACTGCTACTATCTTATTGCAAAAGGGGAAACACGCCCCTTATATTGTGGAGAGCGGCTCCCACTGGCTGAATGATATGGGCTCGGGAGGTGCAGCAAGTAAACAAAGCTTGATCAGGTGCATGTAATTGAGTAGATTCGAAACCCAGGAGAACGCTGTAAACATCTTGACCGCACCTTTACTTTGCCTGGTGGAGTCTGGCTATAAAATAACGACTTGGCCAAGCTGTGGCGCTGTCTCTCCATCAGAGAAGGCAGCGTCCCACCGAGCCCAGCTTTATTCTCTTGTCTGTCTTTTCTAATCCTTCACGGCTCGCCCTCAGGTTCACCCACGGCCGTGCTGGCGCGGCACACTTATGTTCCAGGGTTGTCCTGGAACCGACTTAGAAAACAGATGTACAGCGGTTCACACAGCGCCTGGTACTTAACAGCTGCTCAGGGAGTACCAGGTGTGCTTCCCGGGGGTGGCAGCGGCACAGATGCCGGAACTCCAGGGCTGTTGCCCATCTGGACGGTGGGGGTCTGCCTGCTTTCCAGGGCAGCTGGGAGGCCCGAGGCTGGCCCAGGGCGGTGCAGTCTCTGTCTCTGTCTCTCTCTCTGTCTCTCTCTCTCTCTCACACACACACACACACACACACACACACACACACACACACGCTTGGGCATCGATACTGCTGCCCTGATTATACAAACAAGCCACATGGGCCGGCGCCGCAGGGGAGCCCACCTCTGACGAGGAGAAGCAGATGTTGCCCAGCTGCAGGATGGTAGCCAGCACGGCCCAGACTGCGGTCAACTCCTCGGGGCACAAGCCCAGCGCCTGCAGGGCCTTCACCAGTCCTGCGAAGTCCTGGGCATCCTCCTTGCCCTGGAGCCTGCAGGCCCGGCCCTGCAGAGTGCAGCAGGGTGGCAGCAGGGCCTGGCCCCCAGCCTTGCTCTGCCCCAGCTCCTCCTCAGACCCCCACCAAGCCCCCTCCCTGGGCAGGCCCTGCCGCCCGCACTGTGTGGACCTGGCCCCACCTGGTTGAGGTAGTAGTAGGTCTCTGGTTCCTGCAGGGACAGCTGCTCCCGTTCCGTGGGGTCCAGCCCCACCAGCAGCTCGTAGAAAACATGGAAGCTCCGCTCAGCCTGGGCCTCGGGGGAGAAGGCCTACCTTAGGGGGGTCAGTGGCCTGGTCCTGGGCCCCAGGGCAGCAAGGACAAGTCCTGGGGAAGGCAGGTCTGGGGGCTTAGGGACCACAGACACCCGCCCCCCGTGGCCCCTCCCTCTTTCCCACGCTAGGAGCTGGAAAGGGAGAGCTGCAGGGCAGGTCTTACCTGAAACACCACCCTCGAGGTCTCAAGCAGATAATGTGACACAGAAGCTCCCACGATGACCCCGCTGTGGGCACAGGACGCTGGTTGGGGGTGCCCAGGGTGCACGCAGCCCAGGGCCCCCGCTCAGAATGGGACCCACCATGGGCAGCAGCCTCAGGCTCCCAGAGAGCTGTGGTGCGTGGCCTCTGTGCCCACCGGGACCCCCTCACTTACTGCTGCAGGCGGAGACACAGGACCTGGCCGAAGCGGCTGGCGTTGGCATTGAGGACTGTCGTGGCGTGGCCAAAGCTGCCGAGCCAGGGCAGCACGTCGTCCAGCTGAGGGGGAAGGGCATTCAAGTCACCCCAGAAGAGCCGTGAGCCCCCGGTCAGGCCCCCCAACTGCGGGCACTCTGTGCCTGGGGACTGGGCTGTCCCCGAGAAGCCAGGGACCCCAAGCCCCCCTCCTGGCCCAAAGGAGAAGGGTGGTCCCGGGAAATGGCCAGCTGCCCCCACCTGACATCCTCCGTCCCTTGTCTGCTCCTGCTCCAGGCCGCTCAGGAACCGCACCATCTGTTTGGCGGCTTCTGTCTTCCCTGAGCCGCTGTGCCCACTGCGGGAGGGAGGCCCATCGCATGACCCCACTGAGCCGATGAAGTGGGGACATGGCCAAAATGCAGAGTCCCGGGGCACGAGGACCCAACAGAAATAGTCCCTGCGCGGCCTCGTTCAAGGGGCACATGCGGTGACGTCAGCCGGTAGCACAGCCCTCCGGAGTCGGAGCTGCCGCGGGTGGAGCAGAGCCCTCACCCACCCGTCCCAGCCTCAGTGTGGCCGGGGGTTCAGCGGACAGGGAGCCCCCCCTCACCTGAGGAGAATGCCTGCGTCCCGCCCCGTGCTCCCACACAGGCTGTAGGCTGATGCCGCGATGGCGAAGATGTGTCTGAGAAAGAGGGCGGGCCGGTGAGCAGGCTGCAGGGGCCTCTGGGCCCTCCTGGGGGGAGGCAGGATGCGCCCACCCTCCCCAGGACCCCAGTCAACGGGACCCGCAGGGCTCAGCCGCCAGGGGGTTGAACGAAAGGTTGGTGGAGAAAGGCACTCACGGGGTGGCACTGGGGGCCTTCCTGGGGTGGTAGCTGGCCAGGACCTCAGGCGAGAAGACAGGCAGGGGCCAGCGGGGGTTCAGAGCGAGCAGGAGGGGCCCCCCAAACGTCTGGGGAAGGAAGCACAAGCTCTCACCAGAACATGGAGGGGCCAGGGGAGGCAGATGGAATGGGGCTCGGATGCTTCCCGCCCAGACCCGGCCCCGCTCTGCAGGGCCCCAGAGAGGGTTCGGCGCCCAGCCCAGGCAGGAGAAGAGAAGAGGTGCTCTGGGGTGCTGGAGGGCCCTCTGATCCCAGGGGGAAGGGAGTCCCAGCCCTCCATCCCCTCGGGGACCCCCATACGTAGATGCGGCCCAGGCGAAACCTCTTCTTGAGGCACAGCAGAAGGGAGCTGTCACACAGCGGGCTGCGGGGGGCAGGGGGGAGAGGAGGCCCCAGGTTATTCTGCCACTGGCTGCAGACACTGGGCACGTCATGCCCCTCTCTGAGCCCATCCCTAACGGCCGGCTGCTAGGTAAGCTCCCACCCAAGGGGCCTGGCAAACAAGGAAGCTTTGTGCGGGTTAGAGAAGGAAGTTCCAAGCAGGGACATCTGCTGGTCACCCCCACCTGCCCCTGAGCCTGCCCACCTTTAGGGAGGCGCGACCCCTCCGCACGTTATAAAAACGAGGAGGTGCGATATGAGAAACCCGGAGCCCCGCCCGCTCACCGCAGCCGGGCCAGGTCCTCGGTGTCTTCCAGGAGGGTCCCTGGGTTCCTGCCCTCAGCACCGGGGACGGACGGCGCCTCCAGGCCGGGCCCAAGGCTCAGCTCCAGGTCCCTCTCCAGCGCCTCCTCCAGGAGCCCCGCGCTCACCGCAGCCGGGCCAGGTCCTCGGTGTCTTCCAGGAGGGTCCCTGGGTTCCTGCCCTCAGCACCGGGGACGGACGGCGCCTCCAGGCCGGGCCCAAGGCTCAGCTCCAGGTCCCTCTCCAGCGCCTCCTCCCC